AAAAAAAAATTTTTTTTCATTTTTTCTTCCTCATTTTTTTCCTCTTTTTTTTTTTTTTGTTTATAACAAATTAAGAATTTTCAAACAAAAAAAAAATAAAAAAAAAAGCATTTAAAAATTTACAAAAGAAAATAATAGTAATAATAAGAATATTAATAATAATAATAATTCGAAATAAAGTTTTTTTTTTTTAATAATTTTTTTTTAAATAATAATAATTTTTTTACACTTATCCCTTATTATTATTATTATTACTATTATTATTATTATTTATTTATTTATTCTTATCTTTATTTATTTATTATCATTATCATCATTTATTTACTCACACGCACGCACACACACACGAGAAAAAAAAAAATTTTTTTTTTGCTTATATTAAACTTTTTTTACAAACAACACCTAAAAAATTGTAGTAGTCATACACGCACACACGCTAATCATTGCCAACTTATAAAAAAAAAATTTTTTATTATGTATTTTGTTAAATTAACGGATAATCGGGTACTGTAGGGTACCATCGAGTACTACCTTACGGGTTAGTAATCGAGCGATAAGAAAATCGTTCGTTTGTTTGTTCCCACTCGTTTAACGATTGCTGCTGTTGTCGCGAAAATTTTTTCTTTTCATCAGTATTATTGCGAGTATTATTAACCGTAGCAAAAACAATCGAACGTTTGCCCTAATTAAAGAAAAAATGGCAATGATGATGATGATGATAATTATTACAATTAAAACAAAAAAAAAGGCGTTACAAAAATTTTTTTTCTGTTACAAAAATCTACGACAGCATTTTCTTTCTTTTTTTTTTTTTTAAAAGGACTCAAATCCTTTATGACGTAGTCGAGCTAACAAATACAATAATAATAATAATAATAATGATAATAATACATTTTTTTTTTTTAAATTCTACGTTCACGTACTTAGCTTACAATATAGAGAGCACACGAATTGCGACCTAAAAAAATTTTTTTTTCCTTTGACACACTTTAAATATATACCCATCGACACGATGAAACATCGTCGTTACGTCATCACTATTATTATTATTATTATTACATATTTTTATCACTTATTTCTAAACGAATTTATTTTTACCCATCAAAGAAAAACAAAAAAAATAAAAAATAAAAAAGGTTTTTTATTTGATGATGATAACAACAAATTATGACGACAACAAATACCACAATAATAATAATAATAAAAGGAATGTAATGGTTTTTAGTGCGTGCGAAGAGTGGCTAAACAAGTCGAGGAGAAGATTAAATGGAGAAAAAAAAAAAAAAATTAAAAAGCGCTTAAATTTAACGAGACACATCAAAAATCACATGACAAATATTTGCTAAACTCGAGACAACCACCGATCCGGGGGTGGGGGGACCTTTTTTAAAAAGGGAAAAAAGGATCGTAAAAGCATCATCGGTTGCCTTTTTTTTTTTTAAAGATAAAACTATAAAGCACTTGTTTTGCCATATATATATATAAAAGGTTACCTTTTATACAAATTATAAATTTGATAGCTCGACGTGACGTCATCGTATTACAAAAAAAAAAAACATTTAAACGAACGAATGAGGTACGTATCGAAATTCGATCGATAAATCGATAAAATCGTTTCACATCTTTCTTATCACAATAAAATATTAATTAATATTATCATTATTATTAATTTTTTCTTCTTCATCTATTATCGAAACCTCATTCTTTAAAAAATTAATTATTATTATTATTACCGTGATAATAAATAATTATCAACGGTAATATATAATTCGTTTTATTATCTGGCAAGAAACGCTTATAAACCTTAATAGTATGTATGTACGTACCTGTTGTGATACCTAAAAATAATTTTTTTTTTTCACTCACTCACTCTCTCTCTCTTTTTATTACGAAAAAATAATAATAATAATAAAACGAGTATAAATGTCTACCCTTATTGATGAAATACAATCAAAGCGCGAGAGACAATAATAATAATAGCCTTATTTATGTATGTATGTATATATAAAATCTAAAAACTATTTTTTTTAAAACTTTTTTTTTTTCTTTTTTTTTGAGATCTTAAAAAAAAAAAAAAATGCTAACGCACATACGCACGCACGCTGGCACGCACTCACGCACATTACACGGAAATCCTACGGATTTCATATCGGTGCTGCTGCCCCGGGTGGAAAAATCATAATAATGATTTTTTTTTCCCCTTCAGTTCCGTTTTTTTTTTTTTTTTTTGTACTAATGAAATTTTGATTTTGCCGTACCGGCGAGAGCACCGTGAATTAGAGCAAAAGATGCTGCCAATTGTGAATAATAATAATAATAATACTGCTTGTCCAAAGCAAATTCCAGGGTGTGCTAGATGTACGTTTTCTTTATCTTTTGTATCGGTTTGTTTTCAGCTGATGAATTAGCGTTTTTTCCATTGGCATTCTTCGGTGGCACATTCAAAACCAAATTGATGGCTTTGTTGTTGATGTGTTGGGGCAAATCTGCATTCAAACCAGAATCGGTCAACCTGGAGAAATAACATTTATTACTCATTATTATTATTTACTTTCGTTATAACAACGGAAAACCGCGCACGCGCACACCAACTTTACTATTTATAAAATAATTGACATTTTTCAAAGTCAAAAAAAAAAAAAAAACGAGAAAAACACGAGAAAATAACAACAATTTAAACAGTGCGATATTCCATTCAACTTTATTAATAATAATAATAATAATTTTATTTAAAAAAAACAATAAACAATAATAATAATGATAATCATACCTGTGAAGAACTAGCAATCAACTGGCAGTTAACTCCAAAAGATCCCGAAGCATTCAATTACAAAATAAGCTCAGAATTTTTTTTTTTTTAACTTTTTTATTTTATTTTATTTTAATTTAATTTAATTTTAATTTTATTTTATTTATTTATTAACCATATAAATAATTATTAAAAAAATTAATAAATTTTTCATTGAGACTTTTGGGGGGGGGGGGAAACGCTAACCAAAAACAAAATGGCGATGTAACAAAAATAAAATATTAATAATAATCGGTATTTGCTTACCTGTTGAGTTGATGTCTCTGGTTGTCTGGAAATCTTGGCATATCCGAATAATCGTCTCCCCTGCAGCGACGTGAAAAAAGGAAACCTCCTATGAAACCAACGACTAAAGCTCCTAAAATTGACGTGGCAACAGCAATTCCCAATGTTTCAGCCGTGTAAATAACCATATTTTCTTGAGACGATGGTAATTTGGCTCCTAAAAATTTTTATTATTATTTTTTTTATTTTTATTTTACGTAAATAAAAAATTGAAAAAATGGAAAATAATAATAATAATACGCTACAAAAAGGTAAAAAAAAGAAAAGACACAGAAGAAAAAAAAACATTTTAAATGCGATAGTTTGAAAGAAAAGTAAAAATGAATTGTTAGTCACAAAATTAAAACCACATTTAATTTTTTTTAATTTTTTTTTTTTTTGCAGAAAGCAAAAGACAAACTTTACAAAAACATCGTATTCGAGAATGAATGAATGAAAGATAATAATAATAATAATTATTACGACTCCAGCACGGATATCATCTCGAACACGAAATGAAATAAATAATATTATAAAAAAGAAAGAAAAAGTCAAAGAAATTGTTAGGAATACCTGGATGAGAGAGTCCAGCCAATGTATCCGATATGACGTTGCTCTCGTCCAGTTCAATGATAATCTCGTTGTTGAGGTCAGCTTCCATGAAATGGCCAGGCGTCCTGCCATGGCTATGTGGGGACCCTGCACAGCAAGCAAGCTCAAGAGTACACGACCGGAACCAATTTTTTTTTTTTTTTTTAAATATTAATTTAATCGATCAACCCTAAAGTTTTGTTTGTTTCGATACAACACAAATCTTGAAGGTTGATTTAATCCCATTCGAAAATTTATGTTTTCTTTTGTCCTTTTCGTCTCAACATAAATTTTCGTACAAATTATTACCGTGTTATTACCGAAAAAAAAAACCATTACCGAGTAATAAAAATATAAAAAATTTTCCGAGTAAGTAAGCTAAAGGCGTTAAAAAAACAAAGCGTTTGTTAGTCTGGAATAAAAGTATGATTTTTAAGCACAAAAAAAAAAAGAAAACAAACAAAAAAATTTGGCAGCAACAAAAAAAAACAATATTATTATTATTATATATCACAACAACAACAACAACATAAAGAGAGAGAAATAAAGAGAAAGAGTGAGAGAGAGAACAATAACACATTTAAGGTAGATAAAACTCGTGTGTAGAAAAAAAAAAAATTTTCATTTTAAATTATTATTATTATTATTATTTAATACCGTTTGCCTTTTCTTTTCCTTTTTTTGCCTTTTCTATTTACGGGCTGCCTTTTTTTTTCAAAAATTTTTTCTCTCCTTAAAGTTTTTTTTTTTTTTTTTGTAACAAAATTTAAACAAATAAAAAAAGGATTTTAATAATAATAATATTATTATTATTACGTATTGTATAAAAAAAAACGAAAATGGGAAACCCCCTCACCCATCCACTCACTTCCTTTTTTCCCTTTCGATATAACAAAAAAAAAAAATCGTTAAGTGATAGTAGATATAATAATGATAATCGTACAGGAATTATTAATATTACTGTTGTATGTAAAATATAAAAGGTAATTAATTCAGCAGCCCCTTAACCCGCTCGTTATTATTATTATTATTATTATTATTATTATTATCAATAAGCATGTAAAAAAAAAGAAAACTAACCCTGATGTGCTTCGGTGGTTGGTTCTGATAAACTTGCAAGTGGTGCATAATCACTGAAGCAGACAGGGCAGGGAGGACACGATTCAATTATCTCCTTATACGGATCGTTCTCACCTAAACGAGAGTCGTTCGGTTTTGTATATACAAAAAACGAAAAGAAAAGAAAAACAAAAAAAACAAACAAAAAAAAAAAAAACGAACGGGGGGAGGGGCAGGAGAGAGAGGGGGAAAAGTGAGGAGGGGAAACGCGGCGACAAATAAAGAAAATTAAAGTGTGTAAGTAAGGCAAACACAATTTTTTTTTTTTTTTAATTTTTGTTTTCCAGTTTTTCAAACGTTTTAGAAAAAAAACAAAAACACACACGCATAACGGAAACGGAAATGGAAAAAAAAAATTTTTAAATTGCTGTTTTTTTTTTTAGAGGGGGAGGGGAGGGGAGGAGTGGAAAATATACAAAAAAAAAAAACAAAAACTTCGTTGACTCCTCCTCTCCCACGACTTAACCACCCGCCTATTTAAATTATAAAACGATAAAAAAATTACAATTATTATTATTATTATTATTATTTTAAATACCCAAATTATTCCCCTTTACCCCCTTTTCCCCCTTCACTACCGGAAAATTCGATTAATATTAATATTAAATGATATTAATTCAAATGAAAAAAAAAAAAAAAAACCGTAATTTAAAAAATTTTTTTTATCCATTTGATAAATAAATAATAAATCACGATAATAATAATGATAATGATAATAATAATGATAAAAACTTACCCGTGACTTTTGTCTGGCTCGATGTGGGAGAAACTGGAGAAACATCAGCTGAAAAAGCCAAGCAACAAATAAAAGCAAATTTCTACTTAAATTTTTTTTTTTTTTTTTGCACGACTTAAAACCCCCGACAAACAAAAAACAAAAACTAATAATAATTCCTTGTTTGTTATATCATTATTATCATTTCTATTTTTTTATAGATCTATTAAATTAAAGTCTATAAACTATAAAATCAAAATTTTACTTATTTATTTGTTTATCGATAACTATAAGAAACATGCTAATTAATAACTCATCAAATCATTTCTAATTCCTACATAAGTTATTTATTATATAATTTTTTTTAAAGTTTATAGTTCTATTTTTTTATTATACTATAAAATAATAATAATAATATAAAAAAATAATAAATTTTGTTTTTTTTTTATTAACTGTAGCAAAAAAAAATTAAAATAAATAAATGAAAATAAAAATTATTAACAAAAGCAAAAAAAAAAAAATCATTTCTCACATGAAACTATGTAAAAGACAAAAAAAAAAATTACATTCTATATAAGCTAAATATAAGAAATAACCCTTTAACAAAAATAATTCCCAGAGCTATTATGCGAAACAGACAAGAAAACCCGGTTAGATAATAGAAAAACCCAAATATAATCATTTTTCTTATGTTTCGTACGGTTTTTTTTACTGACACTTAACTTATTATAATCCTTCATCCGTCGTTGTATTTCGGATAAATATTTCAACTGAAAATTAATAATAATAATAATGAATATGTCGGACGTACCTGTGTGTGGACATGCTTTGTTTTCACCCTTTGTCACACTTTGTAAAAATCTTTTTTTGTCACCGTCCCAACCGACGGTTAAATCGCTAGCAACACATTTCTTTTGCAAAACATCCCAAGCGCAATATGGATCTTGCAAAGCGACGCACGACCTGGAGAAAAATTTCCAAAAAAATAACGTTTAGAAAATGGGGGGGGGATTTTCATTAATTATTATCATCATTATCATTACGGGTTACTTACCTGCAAGTAGTAACGTTTTCGTTGTCGCACCTGTGTACCGGAATGCTTTGAATTTCATCATCTGTTAATATAATCAAATTACCATTGGCGACGTAGAGATTTTTAACGGGTATGCCGGGGGGTAATATTTGTATTTCTTCGAGAACGACCGTTTGAACTTTGTCATCCGAATCGAACGATGCTGAATTGACGGCTTTAACGACTTTTCCATCGTCCGTACCGATGAATAAAACATCGTAGGCACGTCCGTCCGGAGTGCGTACCTGAGGATCGACGGCAACTTTTGTAAAACGATATTGCGAACTGATTCTTATTAAAACCGGCCTGGAAAAAAATGCCGGTACGGCATAATCCATGAGAGTGTGAGATTTAACGAAATTAACGGATACGTCTGGAAGGGTTCGTGAATCGTTAACGCATTGTCCGGGTCTGGGTTCTGGTACTTTTGTTATCGGTACCGGTAACCAATTTGAATTCATTGATTCTTGTTCTTTGAATGGACCTTCAAACGTGTCGAGGATAGACTGCATGTTGAAGGCACAAACGGCAGAGCCACCGATTGAATTTATCGGAGTCGTGAAAACTCCATACATAAGTTGAGCCGAACGTTGGCCATAAATTCCTTCCACCATTTCGCTCATAGATTCTGCACAAAAAATACAAATATTTAAACAAATAAATTTAATATTATTATTATTTTCTACAAAACAAAAACGATAAATTAAAACGATAAATTATTATTTTAAACAAAAACAATACTCACGGATTTCATCAAAGTAAAATGGATAATCTCCAGGGACGGAGCAATTCAATCTGGATTTAAGAAAAGATGTCCATCTATCTCCAAATTGATGCGGTCCCCCCTTGTCGTGTTTACACACCCTCGCAACTCTCGAATAAACTTTTTTACCGCAGTTCATGTATTCCACGGCCGTTTCTCGAAAGAAAAAAAATACGTAATCTTCGTATGCGACCGAACTAACGAAACTCGGACCTGAAACGTGAAAAATCATTATTATATGACGTCACGCAATAAAAAAAAGTCATCATCATTTTTTTAAAACATACCGTTCAACTGTTTTAAATCCGATCTTTCCGTTCTGAGAGGTTCCCTGTAAATGAGAGGATCACCTCCTTGAAAATCTGCTACTGTAGCAGCATATAACTGTCCGTCTGTGAAAACAGCAGTGCTGTTGTGATCGGGATCGTAGGGGCATAAACCACCCCCTTCGAAATCTTTAACAACCACATATTCTCCATTTTTGTACTGATAGTATCGGCAGTAGGGTTTATACGCGTTGCTACCACATATTAAAAGTTTATCCTGAGATATTTTAGCTAAAACTCTAATGTAATTTTGACAATCGTCCTAAAAACAAACAAACAAAATTATCGTGTGTTTGTACGAGATATAAATAAATTTTCTCGTTCTCGTTCATAATCGAAAATTTCACAAAAAAAAAAAAAAAGAAATTTCAAATTCGATAATCGAAAACATCATTCACATTTCGCTTTTTTGGACTTTTGGAATTTTTCATTCTACCCCCTTCTACCCAAAAAAAAGGGGGAAAGGAAGGAAGAGGGAAGAGGAAAAAGGAAAACAAATTGTAAAAAGCACGCAAATATTTTTGTGTTTATCTAACGTCGTCGTATTCGACGTAGATAAATTGATTTACGTGCTCCAAAAAAAATTTTTTTTTTTTGTTTGAACCTTTCAATTTTCACCTTTTTTTTCCAACCCTTATTTTGCTTCCCCAAAAAAATAAAAAATTTTTAAAGTACTCACCTCTGATTTACCCTTTAGGGTACAAATTTCTCTGTGTGGTCTGCTGGCATGCCATTCGATTCTCTGAAAATAAAAAAACAGAAAGAAATTAAACATACAAATCATATGCATAAATTCGAAAAAAGTTTTTTTTTTCTGATACGTGAGAATAAGAAGGAATGGGAGAGAAAGAGAGGAAAAAAGGGAGAAGAAAGGGGATGATAAAGGGAAGAAAAGGGAAAAAAAAAGTATAAAAGTCCATTAACTCGTATATAATATTGACACAAGAACGTGACACCAATTTGCTTTTTAATAGCGTCTGTTATTAAGTATTGGAAACTAAACTAAACTAAACTAAAAAAAGGACAAAACAGAAATTTAAAACTTTTTACAAAAAAAAAAAAAAAACTGTGTGCATGTGCGTGTGCGCCCTAATAAGAAATTTTATACCGAAAAGATTTATTTACACTCCTGGAACTCCTGGAATACGATTTGTTTTTTTTTTGGAGTACTTTAATTCCAAGTTTGCTTCCATATATAAAAAAAAATCATTTTCCCATTTTTTTTTGTTTTTCCCGAACGCGGATTCCATTTCGTAAAAAAACACATTACAAAATGTTTCGAAAATAATAATAATAATTATCATTATTATTATATAAAGGAAAAAACCGTTCGTAACGTTCGCATCATTTATTATTTATATGCTTACGTAATAATAACCGCCAACGTTTTTTTTTTTTTTACCACATTTATGTAAACATATTATTTCCTTTAAAAAAATTTTTTTCTTTCTTTTTAGTTTTCCTTTCCTATTTTTCACCTTTTAAAAAAAATTTTTTTTTCCACTTCACCCGTTCGTATTAATAATAATAATAATAATAATAATAATAATAATAATAATAATAATAATAATAATAATAATAATAATAATAATAATAATAATGGTGATTTCCGCAAAGCGTTTTTAGTGCACGCAAAGTAAGAAGAAGAAAAAGAAAAAATTTACATATCAAAAGTCATACATTTTCTTTTCTTAAATTCACCCCACTCCTCTCTTCCTTCCCCTTCTTACAAACTTTCTTTCTTTACCTTTTCCTTTACTACCCGTTTCCTTTTTTTTATAAGTATGTGTCAAAGGAAAAGTTTAAAGTCCTGAGATAAAGGAAAAAAAAATTTTTTTTTTCTTTTCTTTTCTTTTCTTTTCTTCTAAATTAGTAACAATTTGACGTAGATAAGTTTTTTTTCTTTAACAAAAAAAAAGAGAGAGACAGAGAGAGAAAGAAAGAAAATTCTAGAAATTTTTTTTTTTTTTTTTTTTATAACAACGAACAAAACGCCTTCCTTTTTCTTCTGCTGTCTTTTTTTTCTTTTTCTTATCACGAAAATTTAATTTTTTAACAGTTCGGGTCGGGAAAAAAAAAAGAAAAAATTACCGTCGTGAGATTGTAACGCCCGTTTTTCATTTATTATTACCCGTGAATCATTTAAAGTTTTTATTACTGGGTAATAAAACAAATGAATACGCGTTTTAAAAAGTTTAGAAAAGAAAAACGATTAACCAACCACTCGTTCGTTCGTGCGTGTGAGCGTATGTGTGTCAATGTTTGAAAAAATTTAAAAAAAAACTTAACCGCGTGTATGAAAAACACACGCACACGTGCACACACACACATATAAAACTATCGAATTTTGCGTACTCTTTTTTGTTTAACAAAAAGTATTATTATTATCGTTAATAAACAATTTAAACGAACGCGTTCGAGTGGTGATAATACAAATTTTTTTTTGTTTTTCCTCCTTTGAAAAATTTTTACGTATTAATTAAATAATTAAGTTCGATGGTGTTCGATTTCTAACTTTATTAAAAGGCTACTAATTTGAAATTATTTACGATAAATAAAACGAAAACAAAAAAAAAAAACTTTTGTTACGAAAACGTACGTGCGTGCGTGCGCGTGCGTGATTACGCGTACATAAAATGTTTAATTTATGTTTCAAAACAAAAACCGTCACGCAAGGAAAGATATTTTTTTTTTTAACCCTTATCCACTCGCCGTGAATTTCCCCTCACGTACCCCCCACGTGGTCCTCCCCCCAAATAATTTCATCCCTACACTCCCCTCTAATTATCTAATTTAAATATTTAATTGATGGAAAAAATTAATAATATTTCAAATTTTCAAAAACAAAAAACGAAATTTGTAAGTTTTCCATGTAAAAAGGGCATAACTTTATACGATAACCAACGTCGTTCAAATCCGTCTTGCATACGAAAAAACTTAACGTTTCCATTCTTTCACTCACGTGCGCGAATCGATTTTTTTTCTCTTTACCTGTTGTGACGTCATTTGCAGAAGTAAATATTTACGTTGATTACGTCACAATTAAAAATAAAAGTTTTTTTTTTTTTTAATCGAATTATTAATTCTTTTAAAGGAGATAAAAAAAAAACAACTAAAAGATTTTTTTTCCAATTATTATTATTATTATTTTAAGTTTAAAAAAAAAAAATTGTTTTTAATTTATTTTAAAAACAAAAACTAGCAGAAGAGAATAAATAAAATAAAATAAATTTAAATAAACATAAAAACACGAAAAAGCAAAAGAGGAGAAAGGAAGAGGATAAATACAATCCCATGAATCAAAAAAAAAAAACAAAAATTTTTATTTAACCCTCTTTAAAATAGTTTCAATGGTATTAAACAATGTAAAAAAAAAAAAAAATCTGGTGCCACGGTATTTCGAGGACGAAAATAATAAAATGGGAAAACCTTTTCACGATTATAAAGTAAATTCGAATAAAATATATATATTAACGACCGAAAGAAAATTCCTTTCTTTCTTTAATCCCGTCGTTTTTTTATTTTTCACTTGTTTATTTTTCGTCGTTTTTCCATGTTTTTCATTTTCTTTTTACTTTCCACTTTAAAAAAGATTTCCCTCGTTTTTTTTTTTAAATAATTTATACATAAAAGAAACTATCACGATAATAAGAACAATATTTAAACAAAAAAAAAAAAAGTTTTCAAAGGAAAAGTTTTTATTTACAAACAACATGTCATTTTATTAAGTAACAAATCATCAAAGGAAAATTCTCAATAAAACACGATGATGATAATGATAATAATAATGATGAAATTTAAATATTTGAAAATAACTTATTGAATGAAACTGATTGACTAACTGACTGACTGAAAGAGATTCTAAAACCCAAAAATGACTGACAGTATGAAACCCGAGGCTTTAAAAAAAAAAAAAATGGCGACTGGAATGAGATGAAGGTGGGAAAAACAAACTGGAAAACGTTTTTTCCTCGTATTTTTTAACCTTTGACATTTAAAATATTTTAAATAATAAAATAAAATATAAAATTTAAAAATTATATTCAGGTGTTAATTCACGTCATTAAGTTAAAACGATTCGTGTCGTTTATTACAAAAAAAAAAAAATTTATGTCGTCGGTTTTTCTTTTTTTTTTTCGTCATTATTATTATTATTATTATTATTATTATTATTATTTTTCTTTTTTTTTTTAAAATGGCTTCCGAACAAAAGGTTTTCATATAAAAAAGAAAATTAACGGAATATAATGTAATCCTTGGGATTTTATTGTTCAATTTTAATCCCGTTGTATCTTTTATAAACCGCCTTTTACTCTTATACACTTTCTCTCTCACTCTCTTTCTCTTTCTCTCTTCGAACCTTTTTTCATTCCTTTTTCAAAACTCGTCCTTTTCGAATGAAAATTTTTGATTTTTAATTCGTTACAGAATATACAAAAAAAAAAGACTATCCCGTCTTTTATCGTAAAAATTGATTTTTTTTTTTTTTCGAATTTCCCCATAGTAGAAATCGAACCAAAAATTTTCCGACCCTCCATTTTCCTTTAATACTCCCCTCCGCTTCTCCCTCCCCCAAAAAAAGAAAACCTCACTGATACTTTTACGTCACAGAAATACATTTTAGAAATTTTTTTCATTTTCCTCCTTCGCTTTTTTTCATATTTATATTTTTTCCTATCGATAACGTTCGATAAAAGTTTTTTATTTAAAAATCAATAAAAATCGATGACGTCATCACCATCATCATTTTAAAAAAAAAACGCGGGAATTGATGATGATAATGGAAAAACGAACGATTTTTTCCGATTTATTTTCCTCCCTTTCCCACCACTTTGTATTTTTCCAATATTTCGTCAAATTGTTTAATAACACGTTAATAATAATAATAATATTAATACGTGATGCGTACTTGTATATATATATTACGGTAATAAAATAACAAAACCGGATACAATAATAAAATATAACGAATGAAATAAAAATGAAAAAGAGAGAGAGAGAAAAAGAAAATTATTATTATATGAATTTTTTTCCAATGATTTTTCAAATTATACGTCATCGTCGATCGAACGATCAATAATAAATAAATAAATAAATAAAAAATTGGAAAAAATTCTTTTATTTTAAAATTTGATGATGATAATAATGATGATAATAATAGGGAAAAAATTTTATGGAAATGGAAAAAAAAAGAACAAAAAGGTAAAAAAACGTTGCAAGTTGAAAAGCAATAAAAAAAAATTTAAAAAAAAAAAATCTCATTCGTGAAACGCACGTACGCACGCGTTTTACACGCACTCATACACTCACTCACACACACACACACGTGCAAAATTTATCAATTTTCGTCAATGATGAAAAAAAAAAAAAATAAAAAGTAGTAGTAGTAGTTGGGATTATCATGGAAAAAAAATTCGAGAATTTATCAAAATGGCGTCTCGCAATGGACGATTAATAATATTATTAATTACTTTAAGTAATTTTTACAACGATATCAAATAAATAAATAAATAATTGAAATAGAATCCATTTTGAAATGTTTTTAATATGATTTTGTTTTGACTAAAACTCGCATCATCCCTGATAATGTTATCATCGCGTAATTTAATCGTAAGATCGCGATAACAACAACATTCGAAACGGATCAATTACTGTAATTTTACGCGTGCGTTTTTTTTTCGATTAATTAATTAATTATTTTTGTATTTTAATGGCGGTCGATCAAGATTTTCTTTTTTTACGCACATCAACCGTTCCGTTTGTGTGCGTAAGTGC